TTTTAGTGTATGACCTGTTTTTTTTCTGGTTCTAAAATGGCAACCCCCTCCCCCTCAAAAGGAGTATTTCCAAGGGGGGCAAGGAGAGGGACTTCCAGTGGCAAAGGTCAGGGGTGGGACTTGAAGTCCCAAGATGTCAACAAGAGGGTGGGGCAACCATCAAGGGGGGAGGCTACCCATACTGCCCTTGACAGCTCGCCAAAACTAATTAAGCGGCCCTCCACCCAAAATAATTTCCCACTTCGTTTTAAGGGCTGCAGTGCTGCTAAAATGCCACCAGGGAGTGGTAGAGTACCCAGACCCTAATGCTTTCCACTAGGGCTGTGCGAAGCTTAGGTCACCGATTAGATTCAGCAAAGATTCGGCCCAATTTGGCGGCTGAATCTCCGAATCCAAATAGAATCAGGAGACCCTTTAATCTCTCCAAATTTAATCAAAACCCTCCAAATCGATTCGGAAAGATGTGGATATTTGGATATAGACACAGCTTTAAATGTTTTTTCTACATATCTTAAGGTACCAGGTGACTTGTGAACACTGACATGGTGGGGAGGATGGAGCATCCCACAAAAGGGTGGGGGGGGAGGGGGGTGGTTCTCAGCACGCTCAACGGCAGACTCAGAAGTGGACCAGCAGCAATTCCAGTCCACTTCCGGGTCTACCGTGGAGCGCGTGGGGGACTCTTCCCCCTTCCCCCAGCTCAGCAACTGGTGCCTCCTAGGTCTGGGGGAGCACCTGGGGTCCCCCTGTAGCTGGGGGGGTCCCCTACATGCTTGGTGGTGGACCCGGAAATGCCCACTTCCAGGTCCACCGCTGAGCATGCAGGGCCTCTCCTGCACTCCTGTGGGACACTCCATCCACCCTACTATCTCAGTGCTCACAAGACATGCCTGGTACCTTGAGATATGCAGAAAAAACATTTAAAGCTGTGTCTATATGGCTGAATCACTGATTTTCCAAATCAGCATCGAATCTTCAGATTCGTATTTGGCTGAATGGAATCAGAAACCAGAATGACTAGATGCTAAGGAGGAGGAAGACGTCATTGTCCACAATTGCAATTTTCTGCTCTTCCTGCTGAAAAACACTGAGTTTAATATCATCCCAAAACCCTTTTTAGAAACTATCCTTCTCATGTCCATCAAGAAGCTTTGCAACTCCTCACTTGCCTGGCGTTCCTCAAATGGCTGTCTCTTCAGTACTGCAATTCTGTATTCTGTGCAGGTGCCTCCCTATTTCTACCTACAAGTAATCTCTGTAAATATTACATTGAGAGAAATAAAGTATCTCAGCACAATTACAAATGAGACCATTCATGGATAAACCCAAATACAATGAAATAAGTTGATGAGGACTGTTCTTACCGAATGAAAACCAACTTGACCTTTGATGGGGAGGTCTTAATTATTGCAGAGGCATTCTGATGGCTTCTTCCATACAATATCTGATTGTTTATCTGTTTAAAGAAAAATGAAGACAACCAGTTCACAAAAAAATCAATTTAAAACAGAATAAATATGCATTGTTTGGTACTTACACTGTGTTATCTAGCACTTCAAAGAAAACTACAGCTGAATGATGATTAAGTGATAGAAAGAAAGCATGGGGCATATGAAATATAAATCCCATCAGTTACAAGGACCTTAGGTGTATCAGAGTTGAGCAGTATATTATCACCCTCCTTTCAGTGAGATGTATTGGTATTCCACACAAAAGTCTATTTCAGGCACGAGTGTGCTGTATTAAGACAGTGTATGAAAAAGTGCACAGGAGAAAATAAGCAATGCTAACCTCTCAGTGCTCTCTCTCTCAAAATTCAATTTTGTTTTGGACAGTCAAGGCTATTATCCTGTCATCAGTTCATGCACAAAAGGAGGACAAGATGTGACCCTGAATTCAGAAGTAACACTTTAGTGCTAATTTAGCTTTCTTATTTCCTTTATGGAAAGAAAAGACAAAAAAACTGAATTAATTTGAAGACTACTCTATTTTTCATTATGATTTCAAGACAGACCACAAAATTGCAGCTTTAAAGCTCACTAAAAATTAAATTTTCAACATGTTAGTCACTATGCTATTTTCAAAGAAAAAAGGATATTGTATTAATAGTGTAATGTTCTCTGACAATTAACTGTAAGGTTTGCTTTGTGCAAGAAAAAAAACAGCCTCGGATTTAACTTAACTTTGTCTGTATGCCCTACACAAGTGTCTATTTCCATCACTGTCAATTTGAGAGAGAAAATGTTTATTCTCCTCTCATATGTTTAAGGAAAATAATGAATATGGTTTAAAGGATCATTTTTTGCTCATTCTAAAAAAAGATCAATCTAAAGAGAAATTATCTAAACATGGCACCTATGACAGCTTTTAATTCATTGTTCAATTTTGTGAAGAGAACTGCTCCTTAACTGTGCCTCAAGGCCACACTTAGTCCCCAGAGCACTTGCTAGCCACATCTCTTTCTCCAGCAGAAAGAGACAAAAGTGATGGGAAAGGATGACAAAAAATGAACAGGAAAAGGGCCAACTTTGTTTTAATTTTTTTGAAGGAAGACAAAACAGCAGAATGAGAGGCACAGGCACATTGCTTATTTTCTCAGTTTTACTCTTCTGTGTAGTTATAGTTTTCAGAGTACAGTAAATATGTAGTTTGTAACATGGAAAACAGGGTATCCCTTTGCTAAGGAAACGCAGTATGCTCAAATGTACATAAAGGCTATCCTGTACAATTACAAATCCCAATATGACAAGAGCCTTTGAAAATCAAGAGACAAACGCTTTCTATTTAAGGGTTTTCTTTGACAAAAGCCACCCAAATGCCATTGCCATTACCAGGTCTAGTTATTTTTTCTAAAGCATCTGAATTCCTTTCCTATTTGTAGGAATATGACAAGTCAAGCAAGTTTCACAAAAAGATGCTTCTACCCAGCAGTCTTTACCGAGGACAATATAGCTGTCTGGCTGTTTTCATGGTAATCAAGATGAAGGGAATGTTACCTAATACAAAATGCCAGAATAATGACAATACTTGAAATGTTTTCTCTTCTTCATGAAATATTTAAAGGATTCTGCTGACCCATTTATTTAACAGGCAAGCTTAGTATTCCGACATACATGCACTCTAGTGAGATTGCAGCAGTATTAGTGCGCACAAGTATATACGCACCCTAAAAAAAACAGAGGCCAAGGAACACGACAAAACTGATTTAAAGGACTGGAGAGACCAAGTTATGAAGAAAGATTACAGGAGCTAAATATATGGGTCTTGGTTATGTGACAGCTGGGGCTCTGAAGTAACATAATAAACTGTCTACAGGTATTTCAGACACGGAGAGGAATTCTTTGTGATGGGAGAAGGCATGCAACTAGGGACAGATTGGTACAGTGCTTATGGTACTAGTGTTGGGCACAAGATCTCGATGCAATTTCCTGTTCTGCTACGGATTTCCTGTACTGCCTTGGACAAGTGACTTGGTCTCTATGGCTAGAAACAGAAACTGCCAAATGAAGCATATCAGCTGTGCTGCAATGCATCATGACACAGCTGATCTGCTTCGCTGGGTGAAAAAAAAATGGCAGCACCATAGAAAAAATGGCAGCACCAATGAGATGTCAGGCGATGTTTCCATCCTTTGTGCCTCAGCGCTCTCTCTGTACTGCTTCCCTACTCAGACAGGATAAGTGTGTCAGAGCACTGAGCTGATCAGATACTGTGGAAATTAGAGAAAAGACAGCAAAAACTGCCACAACGAATTTAAGGAAGAAAAAATATGCAATGAAGATCAGGTCTAGCTTATGGGCAAGGAGACGTACTAGGCTGTGGAAGACTCTCCAATGGCAGTCCCATTCCTTTGCACATTTAAAACTACTCTGGACAAAGCACTTGATAATGTATTGCAAGGAACCATCATGTACTGACAACCAGGAGATGGATGATATGATCCTGTAGATGTCCAGCTCCAAACAAGGTGCTAGATAAGATACAATCTGGTCTCCTTCCCTCTTCCTTCCAAAGTTTTCATTATAAATGCTTCTAAATCAGATTGGCTTACATTTTCCTCCTCTAATTGGTACATGCCTTTGCAAAACTGAAAATCCTGAAAAACCTGAATACTTCATATGTACTCTGCTCTCCCGTTTTCCATTTTTTTTCCCCAACTGATGTTACATAACACTTAAATTCACACTCGAAATAAAATTCACATTTTTAACACCAAGGGTAATTCCTCGCAGGAGTAGTTCACCAATCCAAGAACATCAAAAAAGGCAACAAACTGGTTACACATACTCATTAGAAAGCTCAAAACGAAGTCAATTCATCTAACATGGCCTATCAATCTGTATACTCCTGTCAAGACAGAGAACCAGGAACAGCCTCAATGAGAATGTGAAAAGATCAGGCGCTGAGGACACTGTACCCAAAGTTTGAAAGCTGTAACCTATTGTTTGTCATTGTCAGCTCTCAGGGTTTATAGTTCTGGAGATGGTAAGCTACAGCATACTCCTTTAATCAAAAAGTACTAGATAGGAATTTGGCAAAAAGTGAACACTTAGACAAAATACAGAATTCAAACTAAATTTGCACTATATTTGCTGGCTTTATTTCTCTTAATGTAAAAATAACCTATTCACTAGGAATATTACATGTTTTTCAAATCGTTTAGATTTAGTTAAATTGCCATCAATTTTTCTAAACAGCTGCCTACTTAGATCAGAATTTATAGTCTTTACACTAGCTAAATTAATCCTATTCAACAAATGTATCAAATAGTCTAAAATGTAATTAGCTGTGAGCTGGGCTATAAGTTATAATTAAGTAATTATAGAAAAATGAAAATTTGATTACAGTAATGCATTTCCTTAAAGCTTTTTTGTTGTCCTGCATAGTTATTCTACCATTACAGACCATATTACATTTTTACTTTTCTTTTTTTCCTCCTTTTTTTTTTTTTTTTTTTTTTAAGATCAGAGCCTCTTCTTAAAAGAAAATTTCAGTTTTGTTTTTTTTCCACAGCTCCTCGGATACCATGGTATACATCTAGATCTCCAAACACTACCACTTAAATCAGGGACCACATAGTAGGTTGTTTACTCTATGATGTGGGAATCAAACCCCAAAGAAACGGGTTGGTTTTCCACATAGGTCAGGCATCGGGAAGACATGGGGAGGGCATGTGCCCCCCTGAGACTGGCTGCTGCCAAAGCTGCCACCCGCTTCTGTGGGCCATTACCACCCGCCCCCACCCACCCCTCTCTGCTACTGCTGCCAGCGGTGGCTGCAGGCAGCCCCCTACTCACTGCCACAGTGCCCCCTGGTCTTGGAAGGCACCAGTCATTCATGGTTTTCCAGATTAAAGATTGATTATTTTCTTTTAATGCAGGGCTCAAGTATTCCTACAGAAAGATTCCTCTTTAAAGAAAAAAGAATCTAAATAGATATTAATATAGGCCAGATTAGAACTTACATTTACTGCAGAAAGTGCTCTACAGATGTAACCAAACAGACAATCAGGGCACAAAGAGCGCTCGAAGGTAACCCTGGATGGATGCAGCGTCGGATTTCAGTGTTGTAGGTTACAACGCCATAATAAACATTACCAGATCCCATCAGGCTCACGTTGGGTCATATTGCGTCAGCAACCCATGCTTGTCTGCACTCAGCATTAACACCCCATGGTGTGCTTTCTGAAGTGGTCTAACAGTGCAGCGAACTTGGGGGTGGGGTGGGGGGAGGTGGTGTTTTTGTTTATTTTTTAAAAGTTTATCATATAGTCCTTCAGTCACATGCAAGCTGTTGAAATGTAGTAATATTTAAATCTGAAATTGGTCTTCTTGTTTTTATGGATTTATGGCCTTATCCAGCATTCACTGAACTCAAGGGTAATTTTCCCTCAATTTCAACAGGGTCTTTGTACTTTACTGTTTAGTCTATGAGGTGCATCACAAGCCAGTCTTTGTTTCGTCTCCAGTAATGAATTAGAGAAATTGCCTGAGTTGGGGAAAAATCACATCCCCAGCTAGGTAATCATGAAGCACAGTTACAAATATTAAAACATTCTACAATTTGGGGGAAGAGGGAGAGACAACATCAGATTCAAGGGTGAATGAAGCCAACTAAGGCTTATCAGGTGAGGCTGCTGAGCTCTATACAGCTGTAAAGAAAATAAGAATAACAGCCACGTATGTAGGTGGGTGAAAATTAACAAAAAGCTTGCCTGAAATATTTTAATAGCACTCCACTTTCTTACTCTATCCAAAGGCTTTTGTGGAGAATAAAATAAAAATAAAAGGAAACTGTATTTCTTGTTTTGGGTATCTACAATCCATAATATCAACTCTCTTCACCTTGCATTCTCCAAAATGATTGCTTGAGATTTTGGTTAGATCTGAACGTTGAACCAAAAATTTTTCTGGTTTTGCCTAACGCATTCAAAAATCACTTTCACCTAGAGAAAGG